GTCCCAGTTGACAATATTTACACAGTATTAGAAAAATAATTCGGTCATACGATCACAGCTATAGTGTTGATTAAAACATCAAACGTAGAGAAGTGGAAAGAAAGCTTAAATCTAGTTTTTTGAGAAAATGAAGAACGTAACGTTACTTTCAGTGTATTTCTTTGATACATACCAGAAGGTCATTATGTCTTATCTGATTTATTTATATTTTCAGAAAAGATTTCTTTATCTACGACAGACTACGAAGAACAGATACTAAATCAAGAAGGGAACAACTTTAATGAACTGAAAGTTTATTGAAGAAAAATTAGAGAAATGGGAACACTTCAAATGAACGATACAACATTTGGCAAATTTAACTTCTGAAAAAATTCTTTAATTTGCTCACTTTTGTATTGGTGTGAGAAATGAATTAATATGGCATAGGTTGTTTTTTGAATAACTCGAGAACGAAAAGAACTGCACTCTAAAAAAAGTCGTAGATTAATAAACTATCAAAAAGAGTTTATTAAGACCAGTAAACCTTTTGAAAAACGCTTTTCCGTTTTTTATATCCAAAAAACTAAAAAGCGTTCGTGACAGATGCAAAATGAAAAACGGGCGGCTTTTTATCAAAAATTAAAAACCCTTTTCAGTTTTTTGCCTAATCTAAAAACCAGCTAAAAAACTAAGAGCTTTTTAGCTCTTTTTTTTAAACTACTAAAAAGTTAGCTGAAAAACTCTTAGTTTTTTAACTAGTTTTTTAGACTCAACAAAAAACTGAAAAGGGTTTTTTATTTTTCGTAAAAAATCGCCTGTTTTTCATTTTGCATTTGTCACGAGTGCTTTTTAGTTTTTTGAATATAAAAAATGGAAAAGCGTTTTGTAAAAGGTTTATTGGTCTTAATAAACTCTGTTTGATAGTTTATTAATCTACGACTTTTTTTAGAGTGTTTCACCTTTTTGTAGGAAAACCTTTGCCCTATCTTATGATCTATGAGAGCTTGAAAACCTTGGCTTTTCAGGTGGTGTACCTTAGAAGTCTTTAGAATACACACAACAATTGAATATGAATCAGCCACATTTAAATGGTAAAAGCTTTAAAAAACTTTAGAAATTATAGAATCATTTAAGCAATAATCAAATTTCAAAGAGAGAATGCCTAGAGTACAAAAAAGATTTATTAAACAAGTTAATATAAAATTATATAAAAAAAGTCATATATAAAATTAAGCGCAGATGTTGAAAATAACGCTAAGTAGCATTACTTAAAATGTTTCTAGTTTAGAATTAAACTATGCGTCGATCAAGATCCTTCTAAAACCCATTTTCCTTGAAAACGCTTCCTTGGTAGAAACAAGCACTGCATTTTTCTCGCTTAAAATTAGTCATTTTTCTTTTTTTAATTAATGGATTTCTCACGGATCCTAATCGACGCATTTTTAATTCTAACCTAGAAATATTTTAAGTAATGCTATTTATAGTTATTTTCAACACTGCACGAAAACTTGAGCAACGTTGATTACGGTTTATCCAAATTTTGAAAACTAGAACAATCAAAACTGAGCCCCTCATAACATTTCTTCGGTTAATAACCGAAACCGATGCATACCGGGTACTAACACGCAGTAGCAATGTACTGATGCAACTTGATCGCGTAGTCACCAGCATAAGGTTCAACGGCAACGTTTTCGAATAAGTCACAACAGATAAGACCAACCAACCAAAACTGTGTCGATTTTTGGATCTTGCTCTTCATCTAAAGTTTACTAGAAATAAAAGCAAGCGCATGCACAAATAAGCATCGGCTTTTGAGACAACCATACTTCGAATTTCAGTCAATGATTTCATTCGTTCGACTGATGAGAAATTTGTATCTAAGAGTGCCCGATGCAAATGATTTTTTCTAATAGCGTTTTCATGTAGTTGAATTTGCTGGTGGTGTTCCCCACATTCTTTCTCGTGTTTCTGACGTTACTCTTCCGGTCCTGGTATCTCATTTTGAAGTTGTAGTCAGCTATTCATGAACAACTATGAGAACTATTCATTGCGAACTTTCAGAACTATTCATAGACAATAGTGAGAACATTGAGAACTATTCATTTAGTCCAGTCGATTTTCTCTTACTTCCCACCTAAAAATTAGAACATGTTTGATATCAAGTATCGAATATCCTTATATGGAAGAGTCACCCATGAACAAAAGAACTGGTTGTCTATATTAATCGATCGTTGTTGTTGTCGTCCGTTCGATTGTCTGAGTAAATTGAGCAAGCATGTCCATATCAAGACCGTACACGACTAAAATCTAGAAACGAAATTTGATGAATAATTGGTTCCTATTCGTGAGTGGATTCGCTATTAGTAGTGCATAGTCGGTCTAATATTTAGCTTCGGAATCATCAAGAAATTCATGCTACATGTCGAATAACTTCATAGCGATCAGAGAGATGAAAACTAATCAAACCGAACTCCATAGGGTGGGGGTGGAAGTGTTCGGTGGGTTGGCTCTCAGGAGCGAGCACAGCTTCGGCAGTTTCTTGCTATAAACGGTGATTGTTCTTGAGGGTTGAAGGTAGAGTGCTCGTCGATCATCATCGCGAAATCGAATTGCAACCAATTCCCAATTTGATCGTTTCCGTGACTCTTGGGCGCCGGAGTTTATTGTGAACCCACTCGTCGCTACCATTGCTGTCCGAATATTTCGTCAAAAACACCGAAATAGGCTCGTCAGATTGATTGATCACTGTGAAGCTCATTATTAATCTACCGAAGTAAATAGCATATAAATTCATCATGAATAAACGTTATAAATACATGAATAGTATTAACGCTTAAAGGGAATCCTTCTATGGATTATTCCAAGAGCAAGTAGAGAACAAAAGAAAACTAAAATATTGTTCCCGCGGACACAAACTCGAAATCTTCTCTGCAAAACCTTTTTCAGTTCCGTACAGCAGAAAACGTTTCGCAGCAAATTCTAAACGTTACACATTTTCGTGAGAAAACTTGTGAGAAAAATTTCATGCCCTACGGAACTGAAAAAGGTTTTGCCCAAAAGGTTACGAGTTTGTGCCTGCAAGAAGAACATTTTAACGTTTCGTACATCTGCCTTCGTTTCGTACATACACCTTTTTTAGAGTGCAATTTATGTTATCTGAATGAAATTTGAGTTTTCCACAAATTATAAGTTTTCAAAGTTCTCAAGCATCGATTCGTTCTGTACATCGAATCAGAAACCACGTCTGGCCACTACTAAGCAAGAAATAATATTGAAGATACAATTATCCAAAAACACGGAAACGTTCGAACCGATGCTTATCTTCGTTTGTTTGGTGTTCTGCCAACGGTTTGTGCTCAGAGACGTGACTGGCTCAGCTATTTATACATTCTCTCACCATTATTTCGCACACCTCGCTCGTAATGTTTACATCTCGTTTCATCACGAGGGTAAGGGTGGGGTCGGTGTTCTTTTTTTGTGACTATGCGTCTTTTTCGATTATTGACGATGGAAATATTCTCAACGCGAATTCGTCGTAATAGTCCGTCCGTCTGACCGCAGTAGTTGACGAACGACATCTTCGTACGCGCGCCCCGAGCACTAGCGACAAAAAAAAAATTTCTCTAATTCTAAAATTGTAAAAAGTCGAGGAGTGCGGCTATCGCTGGACTAACCATTTCATACCCGAGGAATCGATTCAAGCTGAAGATGGGCTTTTGTTTGGAAAATTTTTTAACATGTTTCGGGAATAATATATCAGTGAAATGTATTCTTATTGAGAGTAATATCATTGAAAAAAAAAATTCTCGATAGTAAAAGATGGAGAAATTCAATAGTATATGGGTCTGATATTCGCTTTAGTGAGAAAAACGCGCTGGTTATAGATAATTGACATTTTCAATGTCAAGCAAGCATCTGGCAGCTTTGCTGTCACTGGAAAAAATGTCAGAAATTGAACTTTACACATTTTACATCCGCAACTATTAAAAGCGAATAAAATTTAAAAAATACTTCAGGTTATCACAATAAAAATCCGTGGACGCAGCTAATCGATCGATCATTTGGCACACTTCTCCCAATCTTGCTCTCAACGGTCCGATTCATATAGATATCTTTTTAGTACTTTGAGACCCACACCACGATACCTTGAAATACGACCTGCTACAAAGGCCTTTTGACTACCACCTAGTCGAAAATTTCAGTCAAGGGTCAGTGAATCGCAGATGAACGTTACTTGTATTATAAAATTCTAGTATTCTAATATTCTGATATTCGAAGAATCTAGTATTGCAATATCCTAACAGTCTAAAATTCTAATATTCTAGAATTCTAATATTCGAAAATTCCTGTCATCCGTTGCCTGCATACAGTTGCTTAGTTTATGGATTTAATTTGTTTTTTGTAGATTATCGTTCTAAAAATTCGTTTATTCTTAAAATGTCTAAAAGTACACTCTAAAATAATATACGACTTCAGCGATGTGTCTGCCGAGAAAAAATATTTTGTATGTGACTAGGTTGCGACTTCAAAATAGTAGGTGTCTTCTATATGTCTTCAATGTGTCTACTGGGAGGCATATAGAAGTCACATTGGAGTTGCATAGAAGACGTGTGAACGAGAAAGACGCTTAGTAGTCACATCATTCCGCCTTCTATGTGTCTCTAAGTTTTTAATCAAAGTCTCACACGAAATGTGAACGTAGGATGTTAATTAGACTAATAACTAATGTGCCTGTGTGGTTCAGTGGTGAACACATTCGTCCCGTAAGCGAATAGACCGAGTTCAATTCTTGGCAGGAACGAAAACTCTTTTAATATGTCTTCCCCAGAAGACACATTAAAGCGACTTCAAAAGAATCGCTAAAATACGACTAAAAGGGATCCGACTTACGTGTCTTTAATGCGACTAGAGCAAAGACGCTATAAAGTGACTAACAGGTAAAGTCGCATCATGTGCCTTCAAAGGAGTCACTAAAATCCGGCTTTTTGGGATCCGACTGATGTGTCTTCTTAGAAGTCGCATTAATAATAATATTCGGCTAAATGTTGTAAACTGACTGTTTGTTGACCCATTATCATTTGTGCTGCTTTAGATAACATTTTATTTCGCCATTTTGTAGCCACATGAATTGGATCTTGTATGAACAACGGCAGTTGTCGATTCCGTAAAAAAACCATGTTCCATGTTGGAATCATTCTAACAACGAATGCATCTGGATTTTCAAATAATCGAGTGTTGGGAAGATCAGCAAAAAATCCCGATATCAAACGCATAGCTCGTAAATATTTGCTGTCGCAATCTCAAATGGAAAGAGCAAAAAGATTTTGTTGTCAACCGAAAACATGGTAAACAATAAAAAATGTGAACATAGCTGTTGAAAATCCAATCATTCGAATACCTTTGTTATTATATTCTTCATAAATATATGACCATCGTTGAATTATATCAATGCTTGTATATTGATTATTAACACCGTATACAGATATGAGAAATGGAGAAGATTGATCCATGCTTTGCACTACGGGTTGAAACATATAAATATTTAACAATGGCGCCTTTTCGATCCTACTAAACCAGGTTTTCAGTTGTTCCAATGGCTCTGTTTGGAAATGTTTTACAGTTGGTATACCATTAGTCAATGGAGTACAAAATCCAATAAATGTATTTGTACCTTTATTATATTTAATTTTTCTAATCACACCAGTACAATCTTCAGAGCCAAAGCCATATTTTGTATTTATTGAATTTAAATGTTGTTGTAATGAATTAAACCTAAAATCTCCTTCAATTAATTTTAAATCGGCATTAGAGACATAGTTTTTCAGCGCTATTAAATTAGGTAATGCACCGGATAAATTGACTCTTACGAATTCGTATGTAATTTTACCACCTAACACATAAAGTGCCATGGCAAATCGTTGCACAGAATCACTATATCTATAATTATTGTTGTACACCGCTAAAACAGGCTTTTTAATATTCAGTGTCAAATAGCAGAACATTTAATCGACACAATATCTTCACTGTCAAACTGTGAAAAAGTTCATTATGAAGAAACAACTCTAAATCTCGGTGATATGTCGGATGAGTACGATAGCGAGGAGGAAGAAAATGCCGAAGACGACTCAACTGATGCCGGGGGTAGTGAACACGCAGATCCGGACTGGAAGAACGAAGAAATTGCATTAAGTTATCCGTTAACTACGTCCTTTGATAGTTTCCGTTCTCTTGTCACATCTTTTGGTTTTTGGACACACAATTTATGTTCTATTTATTTCACATGTGGACAAAACGATGCATATCAAATTCAGAACAAAGGAAAGTAAACCGCAGAATTTAAGTGGAAAATAGTAGTAGAAAATATTTAGGTGTAAACAAGTAGAAGTGACGGTCAACTTCGATTCACTGACCCTTGACTGAAAATGCGTTTCTGACAATGAGGGTGAGTTTTTGTTTAACATTATGTCTAATTTTAAGACCAATACTTTCGAGATATCTACGCCATAGCGGTAATAATGCGATGTTATATAAGAAGAGAAAACATTCCTATGATCTTTCTGTGTCTTTGACGTTCACTCCTTTTTACTGTTGTTATCTGAAACAGGCTCAAACAGTAGTTCCGTTGATTCTGATATTGCAATGAATGATTTACCACAACCACTACACGATGATTTTGTTAACATTGATCTGTGATTAGGCTACAGCAGTAGCGAAGAGGAAGAGAATGGATTATCAACGCTTAGGCTCTCGATCAAGCAATTTTAACTGAAAACCGGCTGTTTCTTAGGAACGCTCTAGAGTTTGTGAGCGTTAGGATATAAGACCCGGGTCTTTTATTGTGTCCACCCCTTATTACACGTTACAATACGCAACATGTTTTTTTCCGTTTATTTTCAACTTTTAAAAAGTTAACTCTAAATTCGTGTTTTTCATTTTACAGAAAAATAAAACGAAAAGATATGGTATCTAATAATATTTACACAAATACAAATCAACGTTTTTCTGTTGTTAAATATGAACCTAGTAAACTGTACCAGTTAGTGGCTATCAAAATGCTCCACTAGTTTCACTGTATAATAGAAAGAAGGTTTAGAGGGATTCTTTCACAGAATTAATTTTTAATAGCTTTTGGTATTTTCATCGAATACTTATGACGGATTTGAAGCCTTTTTTTAAACAAGAACAAGTGGTCCTATGGCTCATTATCACTAATCGGCTAATCTGATTTAGTCAACTAAAAAAATCACTTCTTTCCCATTTCTTAATGCTCCGTATGTGAATAATTTTATTACTGTTACGCTTAACAGTCATGGACAACATTAGCTGCTAGTGCTAGCTGTTCTGCATAGCATATTACGTGTACAATTGATTTAACAATTAGAGCTGATGGTATTATAAATGCACCACCCGTTTCAAATATGATGTCATATTTGACATACCTGTTATGCCTCAAAATGTAAGACAATACAGAAAAATGAAGAAATTGCGAATTTTGCATTAATACAATAATCGTTCGTAATTAGGATTATGCGATGAAGCCATTGGGTGTACTCACTAAGTACGTACGTCTAGCGAAAATGTACTAATATGTGAGAAGAAGAGAGACTCCCGACCTTAATGATTATGATGTAATACTATGCTAATGCGATGAGAAGCGAGAAAATTCCGATGATCTCTCTGTATCGTTGACGCTCACTCCATTCTACTCTCACCATAAAAGGGTCCGTTGGATGAAACAATAACTGACTTAACACAAAATCCTCATCTTGTACCGTTAAATTAAGATAATAAAGATCAAAATAAAGATGAAACAGACTCAGACAGTAGTTCCGTTGATTCGGATATTGCGATCAATGATTTTGTTAAGATTGATCTGTGGTTAGGCTACAGCAGTAGCGAGGAAGAAGAGAATGGATTATCAACGATTAGGCTCTCAATCAATCAATTTTAAATAAAAACCGGCTTTTTTAGGGACAGTATAGAAGACTCTTCTGCAGGTTATGAGCGTTAGGACGCAACATGAGACCCGGGTCCTCTATTATGTCTATCCCCTTTATGCTTATTCTCTTGCAAGTATATAGTGCAATCAACACAATACTGCATTACATTTTTTGTGGGTGCGACAAGTGTTCCTGCTTGCATGAGTGTGTCTTATTAGGAAACTTACTGTAAGACATGTTCGTTTTCGTTGATTTTTAGTAAACGAAGCCAATAATTTATGTGAGGATGAAGCAAAATCAGATTCAGCAGTCAATATTTGATTGTCCAGAAAACGACTGTACTAAATAAACAATTTCAGTAATATGGGAATCTGCTGAATTATATGACATCTGGAAAACATCGTTCAAAACTAGAACGAATGACACTTCTCAATCGAAGTAAATTATTATACAAAGAAGGTTTAGAAACTGTACACAATCAACTGTTTCCAAGCCGTTTCAATTTCAATAATCGAAGTTATTTCAATAATTTGAAGTTATATATATACTATCTATGCTTATTCTCTTGTAACCATAAAGTGCAATCAACACAATACTGCATTACATTTATTGTGAGTGCAACAAGTGTTTCCCGCTTGTCTTGGATAAACATCTCCAATAAATATAGTAGTAACTATAGGGTAAACTTTTGCATTTCATCTAGCGCCCACATGCATCTGGATCATCCAATTTTTACTTCAATTGACAGGATGATGTTAGCGTGGGTATTTTTACAATCCACCATTTAGACATGCATAGTGCTGTAGTTAACAAGCAAAAGCGTTGTTAATAAATGACGTTAAACTGAGATCATTTTGGTAAAGGTATTGTTTCATTTTGACACTCGAATGTCTACACAGCTGATTCTTAGAGATCTTCGAAGAAAAAATCAGGAAACATTCCAGTGAAATGCAGATTAAGACTTCGAATTGGAAGACAACCGCATCCAATGTCATTCATAAGATGAACTTTCCATTAGATGAGATGTGACTTTCTTTACCCATGCAAAAACGACCCAATTTTTTGGGTTATTTATCTAGATGCACGTGGAACTGAATCTAAATAAATGACCCAAAAAATCGGGTCCTTTTTGCACGGGTACTTGCTAGAAAAAATAACGTCTTTCTACTTTTTCAAGAAATCTTTCAACAAAATGTTGTCATTTCTGTTTTTTACTTTCCGCTGGTGTCACCGACGATATAACGTTTTTATTTTGACTTTATTTATTCATTCTCACAAAATGGTAAAGAAAAAATACTGTTCTACTACTTTCGTTTCTTTCTATTATTACATGTTACAATGAGCAACAGATTTTTTCCGTTTATTACCAATTTTTAAAAAGTTAACTTTTAAATTCGTTTTTTTAGATTTTACTGAAAAATAAAGCGATATGACATCTAATAATATTAATAAAAATACCAATCAACGTTTTTCTGATGTTCAATACGAACCCAGTAATTTATTACCAGTTAGTGGCTATCAAAATACTCCACTAGTCTCACTCGAAGAATTGACGAAGATATTAATACAAAGATTTATATTACTAAACGTAATTATAAACAGCCAAAAGATGATTTAACTCAATGTGAAAGTGGTAGTATACAATTGTATACAATGGAAAGTGATGAACGTGAAAGAAGTTTATATTGTGTACTTAACAAGACATTACGGATGGAGGACAGAAGAAAACTGACCGTTTGATTTAAGTATTTAAAATTATTATTAACAGCATTATGGAAATTACCAAACGCGAAGAAAACTATTTGGCGTGGTGTTAATGAAGATATTAGTAAAGGATTTGAAGTTGATGATGATATTGTGTGGTGGGGTTTCAGCTCATGTACTGAATCTTTAAATGTTTTAGAAGAAGAACAGTTTTTAGGTAAGATAAGAACACGAACACTTTTCAATATTGGATGTGTGAATGGAAAAGTGATTAGAGATCATTCATTTTATGAGAAAGAGAATGAAGCGTTGTTAATGCCTGGAACACAGGTAGTTGTTGTAGGAAAAGTTTCATCAGCACCAGGTCGTTACAATGTGCAACTAAGAGAGTTAAAAAATCCGCCTGTGGTCTTTTAGAACCACCATTTTTGAAGTTGATGAGTAGTAGTGGTAGTGAAGTATCATCATTTCATAAGAATTTTGAACAGAAATTGAGTTTTACAGAAACAACAGTGAAAAACGAAATATCAACGGAAGCAAAAAACCTCGTAGAACAATTAAGATCAGATACAGCTATTGAATATCTACGCATAGACAATTTATCGACCAAAGATCCTCAGGCTATCTCTGAAGGTGTAAAAGTAAATACAAATGTCGCAGGCTTATACTTTGAGCATCCAAAAAATTTGTCCTTTGAAAATATGAAATGTGTTCTTGTTGCATTAAAAACAAATCGAACTATACGATGGACTATACAAATGGAACTAGTACTCCATAGCAGTGAAGTATCAGCTTGTTTTGAGACAGTAGCACATATTTTACAAGTAAGTACATCTCTAAGAGGCCTACATATACGAGATGGCGCATTAAAAGATGATCATCAACTAGAAATAACAGCTGAAGCATTAAAAGAAAATGAAACATTCGCAGAATTAATACTATTAGATAACCAAACATCTGATGAAGGCATAGTTGTTCTTAGTGAAATGTTGAAAGTAAATAAAACATTGGCACCTTTATCACTAGACGGCAACAATATAACAGATAGAGGAATTAAAGTAGTAAGTGATGTACTAAAAGTAAATAAAACATTGACAACATTATCACTATCAGGTAATCAAATGTCTCATGAAGGAATAATTGTTCTTAGTGGAATGTTGAAAGTAAATAATGCATTGGAGACACTAAGGCTTATTGGAAGTAAAATAACGGATAGAGGAGTCAAAGTACTAGCAGAAGGATTGAATTACAATTCAAAACTGAAAAATCTGTATATAGCCAAAAACTACTTCACAGAAACAAGTGAAGATGGTTAAATACTCAATAAAACAAAAAATACTTTACTTGAAATAAATTCTGGTATCCATTTTGACACATTATTCATTTCTCTTCTTTTCTAATAAAAAACATTGACATATAAACGATTTTATAAAGATGAAAATCAAAAGATTGTATGCTTCTATTCTTTTTTTTTACTGAATCGTCTATTCTCTAGTTTTCCTCATGTAAATAAAATAACACGAGCATTATGAGAGTTACGAAATTTTTTACTGTGGATTTTAGACTACTGCATGGTGAGGTATCAACACAAAAAGGTTTTACTCTAGAGACGCATGATCTATTAGGATATAGTCAAAAAATATAGCCCAGCAACTGGATATAAATTCTATCTTTTTAAATAAAACGCGTTAACGAAAAAATTATGATGCTCGTCAAATGTTTTGACCATACCACCGAAAAGTGTAAAAGCTGCACCCGATTCTTTTTTCTTTGAGATCAAGTCTTTTTTCATGTGCAGAGCTTCCTGTGTACATCAGTTCTCTCTTTCATTGCTTTCCGCAGTGACTTTCAGATACAGATAAACATCACCTTTTTCTGTACATTCCCATTTTCATCATTATTCAGTGTATTTAATACTTTAAAAAAGTAAGCGGGAGCAATATTCGGTTTCGTCATTAATTGATATAAGTGAGCAATATTTTCATGTATGGTTGAACGTGTTGCTACTGTTCCAGAAGGACAGATAGCACTAGTTTCATCAAAGTTCATGATTTCAATAGCTTTCAAGAAATATTCATGAGCCATATCGTAATCATCATATTGTTCATATCGAATAACACCTAGCTTATTATAGATTATACTTACTGTGGTTGCATCCAAATTAAAATTTCGTTATATAAAGTTTTTATAAGAACTTTCAGCTTTACTATATTTACACTGCTCAGCTAATGTATTTCCCAGAAGTATCACGGGATTTGCCCCTATTGTTCTATTAGCCATATTTTTATCGTCAAGTATTGATGTTAATTGAACGGTAAGTAGATCATTGGTTATTGTGTGTGTGTGTGTTTATTAGCTGTATAGTCCGGTTTTCAATGCTAACCTGTTGAAGAAGCATACAAATAAAACGCTTTACAAAAAATGTATACAAAGAGCGTTTTTGCTCTTCACAAAAAATCGGTTTCAGGTCAAACAGATATAGATAAATTCTGGTGACTTAAGTTGAGTAATCTGTATTATTATAGAAAGGCCTTCGTACATGTGAAATACAGACTGAGTGTTGGTTGTAAAACTCGGAATGACCTTCGGAAATAATTGTACGAGTAATCGTATGAAAGAATTTTGATGTGATGAAAAAAATTTTGGAACCATGCATCGACTTTTCATTGGTTTACCTTTATGGTATAATTATTTATTCTAAATCGTTCAGTGAACATTGTCAACATCTCCAAAACGTTCTGAATTTATTACAACAAGCCAATCTCCAACTCAACACCATCAAATGTGAAATTGCCAAGCAAGAAATTAATTATTTAGGCCGTAGAAGATCATCAGACGGCATACAAACATTGAATGAAAAAGTGCAAGCAATCCTGAATCTGGCAGAACCAAAATTCTCTCAAACAAGCAAATGAATTTGTTGGAAGTTTGGCATTTTATAGAAGATTTATTCCAGCGTTTGCCACAGTTGCTGCACCAATTGACGCTGTAACTTATTTAACCAGAGCAGACAAACAAACACAAGTTCAAATGGAACTATGAACAAAGTCATGCTTTCAAACAATTGAAGAAACTGTTGGTACAAGAACCTTTATTTTTATTATTTCCCAGACGATTCAAAGCCAGTAATCCTCACAACTGATTTTTCAATCATTGATATTTCTGGTGTTTTACAACAAGAAATTTATATTATCATAGTCAATTATTGGATCAACATCAAAAGAATTATGACATTGTGGCTGGGGAAGCACTGGCTATTCTTCTATAGTGCCAGCGAATGAAACAGATTATACAAGGACAGGATTTAATCATCAGAACAGATCATTGTGCGTTATGTCACATGCACCGACAGGAGCTTCCAAATAACATGGCCAATAGAATATCAATCCTTCTTCAAGAATTTAACGTCATCGAAATTCAACACACACAAGGAAAGCAGAATTGTTTGGCTGATTATTCAATCAAACAAAGGGACATTGATTTATTGGATTTAGAATACGATATTGACAGTAAACAATGATCAAAAAACCAAAAGACTCCCTATATGGAAGTAAAGCCGTAAAGGCTAAAACCATAGAAATAAAACCTTTCACTTTCGAACCATCGAAGAAATCCTTAAAATAAAACTGTCGGTTCAAGAACTGTAAAATCAAAAGCATGAAAAGATATCGTAAAAATCAAAATTGTAGAAATAAAATCATGAACTGACAGTTTGCCGAAGGAAAACAATGAAAATAAAAGTGTGAAGAGGAAAATCGTAAAAGCGTTTTTATGCTCTTTAGATGACGGTTTTATCGAAGCTTTAAAATTCATTAAAATATGTACAATTTCAGTCGTTAGCAGGACAAAAAATCTTCCTAATCAACTAACATAAGTTTAATAGAACGAGGCTTGGGCTTTTCGACAAATCTATCTCACACTTAGGATTATTCAATAAAGAGCATTAGCCGGGTAGATAAGAGAGTGAAACTAGCACTTGGGACAAGGTCCAGCGCATGTTTCTGCAAAATATGCCTGTTTTGTGAACTTTCTCGTTTTAAAAATTCATTTCTTTGAAGCTGAGACTATCTTGAAATTGTTTTGATGCTTATAGGCTTAGAAGATAGAGAGGACGGATATAGCGAATATCCTAACCAGAAGTTTCTAGATGTTCGTCATAGAATACACTCGTATGAGATATGTGCACACCTATACAGTCAGTGTTTCTTTTTTATATCTCAAATGCATGTACAGCCTGATTACGTTATTTTTGACCGTTTTCTTCCGTTTACTGTATTCCAGTAAAACGGCCGAGATTATTTATTTTTATATGCTTGGATACAGCATTGATTACTCTATCGAACTCAACAGTTTTAATTTGATTTATCTCTCATCTTGCCTCCAAAAAATTAGTAAGTTTTGAAAGCTAAGTTTCGGCAGTCAATAAAAACTTTTTCTCCTAGTAGTGTATGTTATTTTCGTAGAATTTTCAGCATTTTTTTCTCGAGTAAATTTGAATCAGTCAAATTAGTCGGCTAAACATTCGAATTTTTTTCATTAATATATGGTTGGATAGAACCTTCATTTCTCTATTGATTTATGCAATTTTCGCCTGATTTTGCTGAGGTCCTATAGGTAGATTTTAGATTATGCAAATAGCAGTGGAAGTCTGTTTTTTTTCATTAGTGCAAAATTGCCTAAGTTTCCGCAATAAAATTAAATTTTCTTCTGAAATTCAAAACTATTTCATTTAATACTTTTTGCAACTTCAACTTCAATGAATCTCTTCACCCTAAAACCCTTTTCGCGACAATTGGATTTAGTCTTATTAAGATATGAGTATGCAAGAGCTTTTTTACTGGTTGTCGAAATTAATTAATTTCTTGGAAACAAGATACGAAATAGAACAAGTTAAAACTATTGAGTTCTATAGAGTAATCAATGCTGTATCCAAGCATATAAAAATAAAAAATCTCGGCCGTTTTACTGGAATACAGTAAACC